TCTGGTTTACTTTAGTTCACTCTGGTTTACTTAGCACCAAATTATCACCATCTAATTTACTTAGTAACAAACTGACACCATCTAGTTTACTTAGTAACAAACTGACACCATCTGGTTTACTTAGCAGCACACTGTCACCATCTAGTTTATTTAGCAGCATACTGTCACCATCTAGTTTACTTAGTAGCAAACTGTCACCATCTAGTTTACTTAGCAGCATACTGTCACCATCTAGTTTACTTAGCAGCAAACTGTCACCATCTAGTTTACTTAGTAACAAACTGACACCATCTGGTTTACTTAGCAGCACACTGTCACCATCTAGTTTATTTAGCAGCATACTGTCACCATCTAGTTTACTTAGTAGCAAACTGTCACCATCTAGTTTACTTAGCAGCATACTGTCACCATCTAGTTTACTTAGCAGCAAACTGTCACCATCTAGTTTACTTAGCAGCACACTGTCACCATCTAGTTTACTTAGCAGCAAACTGTCACCATCTAGTTTACTTAGTAGCAAACTGTCACCATCTAGTTTATTTAGCAGCATACTGTCACCATCTAGTTTATTTAGCAGCATACTGTCACCATCTAGTTTACTTAGCAGCAAACTGACACCATCTAGTTTACTTAGCAGCAAACTGTCACCATCTAGTTTACTTAGCAGCACACTGTCACCATCTAGTTTACTTAGCAGCATACTTCTTTTTTTAGTTCACTTCCTTCTTCTATTGTAATTACACATTTCTGAAGACAGAACCAACAAACTGTGCGGACAATAGTCACATTGTAACAATGTTAAATGGTAATGTCATTTCTCGTTTTCTATTGTAATTACATGTTGCTGAGGAAAGAACCAGAAAATTTTGAAGGCACTGGTTATCTATTAATAGTGTTACTACGTTAATGGGTAACGTTTTCTGAATTGTCCACAACCGGTTGTACATGTTACTAAATAATGATAAACAAGAATAGTTTTAAATAATCAATTTTTGTTTAAAGAATAACTCGACGCTATTCGTCTTTTCAGTCACATCTGTAAGTTATATGCACATGGGCTAAGTGGCCAGGTCAGAAACACCCTAGGGTTTATGTTTAGCTGTCAATAACTTTGAACTATTAACGGAAATGAAGGTAACCATTCACCAGCACCCGTCCTCAGGTGGACTTTGTACGGATGTTAGAAAAGAATAATCATATTTGCTCTCATGATAATAGCTCACCCACAGCTGAAAGTGTGGAACATCGCCACTTGAACCTCTCGTGCCTCAGCCCAACACACTAATAACTAAGTCACGTGTGGCTTAGTAATTTTAAGAGATGTTTTAATCGTTAGTTATGTCTATAAGTTTTTATTACTTGTGTAATGCTCTAGTGATTCAGAATTTAAAACAGTGCTAGAGTTTCAAAACGTTTTCTCTCGTCTTTTTCAACATTATTTTTACGAATGTACTACTTTGTTGTTGGTTTTTTTTTCAGTGGGAATCTGTACTATTATTCCTTTAAATTTTGGTCTAAAACTGTAAATTTATAGAAATGATTTCTATTCAACTTTGGCACATAAAAATTCATTTATTATTCACCAGCTGTCACATATTTTTCACTTTAGGCGTAGCTGTTTTATTGGGTCGAAGATGTTATAAAGTACATTTTATGCATGCCTGGATTTTCCGTAACTCTTTGCCAGAAACAAAATAAAAAAAACTTTATCAATTTTAGTGACGATTTGACGTTTCCTATGTGAAAATGAGAGTTGGGAGAATGATTTGTAATCTCGAAATGACAAGTAAAAGAAGACAGATAACTTTAGCAAGTAGCTTTGTGTTAGAAAACTTTGATATAGTGTACTTAACATATTATTGTACACTTTTTTACTATTACAGGAAATTTTTATTAATAAACTGTATATTACAATGGATTGAGCTTATTAGGTTCAATATTTATCACAAAATCGGGTTAATATTTTAAATTTTTTCTCCGTTTTGTACTTAGTAGAGAGGCAATTTTATAGTTCGATGGTATATATATATATATATATATTCAATAATTTATCGCCTTTCTGTAAAAAGCGAATAATTTATGTCTAGCCTGAAAGTTACTATCTTACACACTGTATGTTTTAACATATACAGCACAAGGCAAACAAACATCTTTCAACTGCAAGCATAGTGGTAAATTATAATTGTCAGAATAGGGGCTGAAAACACATGAAAAGTTGTGGAAAAAAACAGACAGAAAGAAATTACAGTGACTCTATACTGCGATTATTTAGGAAGTTCGTGCTATGCCTAACTCAATATGTTTTACACTGTATAACTTTAATATCATTTTGAGGTCAAACGTTATGAAAGCTATGTCGATAATCCCCGTTCCTTTGGCGCAGCTATTTTGTTCAGCTGATGTCGGCGACGATTCTTGATTCTGCTAATGCCGACGACAGGCCTCCATTCTACAAATGCTGATGACGGTTCTTGAGTCTGCTAATGCCGACCACAGGCCTCCATTCTACAAATGCTGACGTCGGTTCTTGAGTCTGCTAATGCCGACCACAGGCCTTCATTCTACAAATGCTGACGTCGGTTCTTGAGTCTGCTAATGCCGATGACAGGCCTTCATTCTACAAATGCTGACGTCGGTTCTTGAGTCTGCTAATGCCGATGACAGGCCTTCATTCTACAAATGCTAATAACAGTTTTTGATTATACTAATGCCGACGACAGGCCTCCATTCTACAAATGATGACGACGATTCTTGAGTCTGCTAATGCGAACCATGGTTCTTTGTTCTTGCTGATTGCTCTTGATAATGAACATTTATTATGTTAATTGTGAGCAGTTTCTTTTTTTTATTCTGTCAACAATGAAGATAGTTCTTCAGTTTAGTAAAGGTTAAGAAGGTCATATACGATATTTTGACTCTGACAGTGGACTTTTATTTTATTCTAATAATGACGACAACGATCTTAGTTTTGCCACTGCTGTCAGAAGATTCATTCGTTGATGTTGATAACTATTCTTCATTCTGCTAACGCTGACTGTTCGTTGATGATGACAATGATTCCTTGTTCTATTAAAGCTCACGACAATCATTCATTCCATCGATATTGAAGATGATTCTATTGTAACGCCGATGCTATGTTATTTTAATCTTGGCGATAAACCTTCGTTCTGAACCTTACTGTACTAGTAAAAAATAGGCTTAACTCATTAGGCCTAATTCGACTTTGCTTCGGTTTAGAAATATCAACTGTTTACAATCACGAAAGCTTTTCTTATAAAACTCAAAACAACGTATTAATCTGACTTTAAATTTTATTACATATGAGGACTAATTTAATCCCATTACTTTTTTTTTACAGTTTAGATATTAATGTCTTTGTATTTTACAATTATAACTGCCAGATACATTTCGAGTTGTGCAAAAATCTAAGAACCGGGAGTGGCCAAAATTTAATGTGCCAGAACTGTGAATTTGTAGATTCATGGTTCGCTACTCATTATCGTAAAAATGCTTTTTACACTTTGGGATCGTGGGTGCGCTACGAAAGAGACGGTGAAATCTCACAATTCGATCAGACAAAAGTATTCTAAGAGTTGGCGGTGGGTGTTTTTGACTAGCTATCTTTACTCTAGTCTCTTACTTTGAAATTAGGGAATAGTAGATAACCTCCTGTGTAGTTTTGCGCGGCATTCTGAAACAAAATATTTGAAATTCGGAATTGCTTTGGCGAACTACCCACGTTTTTTATTAGGTGGTGCCCCCTACTGGCTCAGCGGAAAGTCTTCATACTTAAGACTCTAAAAATCGAGTTTCGATAACCGATAAGCCTATCTTGTAGCTTTGTGATAAAAGAACAACCAACTAACCAACCTTCAGGCGGTAAAACTCACTAAAATATTCAAAAGAATATTACTATCACATAAATAAAACCCTTTTAAACAACTGTTAGATACTTTAATTACATGCCTGAATCATATCTATTAATTTAGATAAGTATTGTTTTCAAAAGGAGCGGGAAAGCTAAAAAAAAAAAAGAAAGAAAGAAAATGAATTATTTCTCTCCGGCAAACATGAAAGTCAACAAATATGAACCAGTTAATAAGATCCAGTGGATTATAAAGAAAAATATGGTTCCCAATTCAAAACAGCATAATTCTCACGATTCCAAATAATGAAAGATTTGGAAGATAAAAGAGCGAAGTAATTAATTTGATTACATGTATATAATGTGAAAAAACAAAATAAAAAGTAGGTGGCGTTTATCACAGTCTTTGATTTCACTAACAACACAATGAACGATTAAGTAGCACTTCGAAACTAATCACGTTTAATTAACCTCAAATAAATGAGCTAAATTATAGAAAATACAGACGTAAAGAAGGGTGGAATAGTGGAGCTGGATAAAAAAAATATTTCAAATGAATATCAGCTGATAAATTAGCTTCATTTAGTTAGTATTCCGTTAGAAACAGATGCGTCTCTAAAATTAACTGATTAACTTCTCTTTTGACCAAGCAATGAATTATGTAAATTTCATAATAATTGGTTGGAATACCATACCAGCTAAATTTGATTAAGAAATGACCCAGTAATGAAAAAAAAACAAAACAAAGTTATATCTATTATATATATATATATCATGTTTGTTTTTAAGGCTGAGGTAATTTACCTCAGTATAGAGAATGAATTATAATAACAATATAAGTTGCATAAAAATAGTTACTATTTCACTCAGAAATAACAAAGTTTTAGTCTTTTTGTTTTTATGTGTTTGTTTCATATTTTGTCATGATATTTAAATAAAGTAATCATATTTATGAGTTGAAAAGAAGGAGTTACTTTTGATAATGATTGCCCTAAGCCTTCTTTCACAGTCACTGTTAACAATATTTATTATATATATATATATTTCATATAACCAAAATAATGTTTTATTTATATACAAGGATACCTGGAGGCGCTGATGACAACAGAAGCTATCAGTTCTTCCCCTACGTCGAACTTATAATATATTAATGTGATTTACATAATCTATCTAATAACAGTAAAAATAGGGGCGAAACAGAAAACAGTTGACAAAATACTGTCTCGTCTCTTTTATTATTCGGAAGAGAAGTTAAACAGAGAGGTACAGGGTTAATTCTTGTTGAAACAAGCAAACAGTTGACCAAATGTCAAAAAGTATCAATGAATGTTTACTACTATGAAATATTTACTGGTCACAACTGAAAATTAATTCAAACGTTTTATAAAAACCCAAAAGAATTGTCTAGTGGAAAATTATCTACAAAAGAATATCACACAAGTGTTTGAAACCTAATTATGTTGTTTAAGAACCACTTTTAAAGGATAGTTGGAACCAAAATTATTATATAACATTGAATTGGAAAAACAATACTGTCCCCTGGTGGTTCAGTACAAAACAATTTCCCTTGATGGATACATAGCGCAGTTAACACGTGGCTTAGCTTTACGCTAAGAAAGTAAACAAACAAACAAACGAAAGTAACATTATATGCAAAGTTTTTTTGCATAAGAAATGTTTCCAAACGCACGTTCTGAAGGTCATGATACCTCGTTTTCAGCACGTTGCAAACATATCTGTAACAAAAGTTATCCGATTCTTTAAAAAAAGAAAGGATTTTAATGAATGCTCTCAATAAATTACATAAAGAAGTTTGAGCAGATGACGGATGATCT